TAGATAAAACATTGTAGGAGACAGCCACAGACAGTAGATTCCTAGAAGTCTCAAACAGACTGCCTAAGGTCAGACAGGGTCCACATCTGACATCATCAGAGGCAGATGCAGAAAGTAAAAACAGCAGTCTCCAACCATAGAAGTTCACACCACAAAGTTAGGAAATCAAGACAGATCAACTTAAGAACCAGAAGGATAAAAGAAGAATCTCAGAATTAATGGGAAGGCAAAGAATTACCCCACACTCGAAAGGAAAGGAGGAATCCCCAGAAAAAGAACTAAATGAAATACAGGCGAGTAAACTCTCAGGTATTGAGTGCCAAACAACAGTTCTGAGGAAGCTCGATGAGCTCAGCGAACTCAGAGAGGATTAGAAAAAACTACAGGGAAACCACGAGGAACTTACTGCAAACTATATCAGCATGAAAAAGGACATAGAAATTATCAATAAGAGACAAGAGGAAATAAATAATACAATTTCTGAACTGAAGGACACAGTAGAAGGAATTGAAAGTAGGATAGATGAAGCCAAGGATAAAATCAGCGAGCTGGAGGACAAGGCAGAAAAAAGCTCCCAGAAAGAGCAAGACAATGAACAAAGACTCAAAAAGAATGAAGAGGCATTTAGGGAAATGGAAATGCAGGACAACCAGAAATGTAATCATATCCATATAATAGGGAAACCAGAAGGAGAAGAGGATGAAGAAGGGATAGAGAACCTGTTTGAAAAAGTAATGACGGAAAACTTCCCTAACTGGAGGACAAAAAAAAATTCAACGCAAGTCCAGAAAGCACAGAGGGTCCCATTCAAGAGGAACCCAATGAGGCCCACTCCAAGACACATCATTATAAAAATGGCAAATATCAAAGACAAACAGAGAATCCTAAAGCAAGCAAGGGAGAAAGACGTAATAACATATAAGGGAGCCCCGATACGGCTAGCATCAGACTTCTCAACAGAAACATGGAAGCCAGAAGGGAACAGCAAGAAATATGCCAAGTCATGAAAAGCAAAGGCTGCAACTAAGACTGCTCTACCCAGTAGGGCTCACAATTAAAGTGGAAGGTGAAATGAGGAGTTTCTCAGACAAAAGAAGGCTAAAAGAATAGACATCCACTAAACCAGCACTTCAAAATATGTGCAAGGGACTGCTTTAAGGTGAAGAAAAAGAGTCTATGAATACCCAGTTCCTTTCAGAGTTGCCATAGTTTCTCAGACAAAAGAAGGCTAAAAGAATAGACATCCACTAAACCAGCACTTCAAAATATGTGGAAGGGACTGCTTTAAGGTGAAGAAAAAGAGTCTATGAATACCCAGTTCCTTTCAGAGTTGCCAATACTTGATATTACCAATATTTTAAATACTCATTAATCTGATTGTGACAATGATGTGTTATTTTAGTTGTTCCTTTATTATTTGTGAAACTAAACCTGTTTTTGTATATTTCTTGCCTATTTCTATTATTTTTAAAAAGCTTTAAATGACTTTTTGGTATTCTTTATCCATTTATTGATTAAAGGTTTGTAAAATTTTTTTCCCTAGAAAACCCACCCAAAAACTATTAACCCTTTTTTAGATGTGTGGCAAATACTTTCCTATTCTATTACTTGTCCTTTAACTTTATATATATATATATATATATATATATATATATATATGTGTGTGTGTGTGTGTGTGTATATATATATATATATATAGTCTTAAATGTTTAATATAGTCATATTGTCAATATTTTACTTTATAGCTTCTGGGTTTGAATATTTTACTTCAGGGCAAGAAAAATATTCATTTGTTTTTTCTCTTAAAACTCCTTAGATTCTACATATTGATTTTTAACTCACCTGAATATGTTTTGCATAATGTGTGAAATAGGGTTCTATATTTGTTTTATTTCAAGTAATAGTGGTCCATTCACCTTATGTATTGAATAAGCCTTATTTTAACCATTGGTTTGAAATATCAATTTAATCATATATTAAATTGTTAGACAGATATATACATGTTTCTAGAATGCTCATTATATTTCATTGATCTACTTGATTATTTCTGTGCTGGTATCATGTTGTTTTAATTGCTGAGACTTTATAATGGTTTTAATTTTTTTAATATTTTAAATTGACTTTTACATTTAAAAAATAAATAAATAAAATAAATCTGCATTTAAGAAGGAAGGAAGGAAGGAAAGGAAAGGAAGAAAGGAAGAAAGAAAGATGGAACTCCTACCTTTTGCAACAATATGGATGGAACTGGAGAATATTATGCTGAGGGAAATAAGCCAGTTGGTGGAAGACAAATACCATATGATCTCACCTATAAGTGGAATCTATTTAACAAAATAAACTAATGAACAAAATAAATGACAGGCATGTAAATATGGAGCAGACTGAAAGTGACCAGAGAGGATGGGGAAAGAGGACAATAGTGGAAAGAAGGGTAAGGGACAAGACAAAGAACATGTATGAATGTCCCATGGATATGGATAACAGAGTAGGAATTGACTGTTGGGAGTTGGGGGTGGGGGTTGATTGGGTGGAGGGGGGTAAAGGGGGAAATATTGAGAAAACTGTAATAGAATAAACATGACTTAAAAATTAAAACAATAAATGATATTTCTTAATTATTAATAAGTATTTACAAGAAACAGTGTTATAAAATAAATAAATGAAGGTTATATTTGAAATGCTTAATAGAGGTAATTTATTTTTTTCATATTTTATACAGTTGATGACAGCTTCACTTTTTTTCCAAGTACTGCAAATAGCCACTGTCCAGAAATTGAACATGGAGTCCTATTAGGAAACCTCACATTGAATATTTTTGTCTATTTCCCAAGCTTTCCAGACAAGGCAGATTTAAGTACACATTACTTTGGATCTTATTTAAACAGTGTCTATTTATCAGCCTGCTGTGTGTCCAGAGAAATTCTTTTTGAAGTCAATAGGACCATCAGGTTCAGTGACTTCACTGGGTTTAGAGAGAAAATGAGAAGCGTTTCTGGAAAGGAACTAATTGATACTTAACAACTTCTAAGTCTTTTCTCTGCATACTTATTAAAGTGAAGTAATAACTTCTACTGTGTGTCCACAGTAGTCAAGGAAGCACTCACTTAAAATCAGTTTGCCAAAGAATTAATTTACTGGAAAAAAACAATACTAATTAATATAATCGAACATAGTCTTACCATATTAAGGAATATATTATAAATGCTCACTCATACAATTTAAAAAATAGATTCATCTGGCAATTGCCAGTAGAGCCTGTTTATATAAAACGTTAAAAGAAGTTGTTTAGAAAGAAGAAAAATTCTATAGGTCAGAAATTCAGATCTATTAAAAGAAAGAAAGAATATTAGGGAAGAAATAAAAGTAAAATAAAGTTTTTTTTATTATTTTAATTGATCTAAGAGATAATTGTTCAAAATGATAATAGCAACAATATTTTGGATGAATATGGCTAATAGGTAAATGAATAAAATGACAACAATGTTATGAGGGACAAGAGGGAGAAATTAGGGATACTATGTGATAAGGTACCTGCAACCTATGAAGTAGTATATATAGTGCTATTTGAAGGTAGATTTTGGTTAATTTAAAAGTGTAATTCAAACTGTAGATCATCACTAAAATACTTTTAAAGGAACATTGTTGATATGCTAATAAAAAAAACAAAAATGTATTAAATAGTAATTTAAAACCATAGAAGGCAGAAAAAGAGGGAAGACAAAAAATAATCCACAAGAATAACAGGAATGGACAGCAGAGGGTTACAAATATAAAAGACATTAAATCAATTATATCAATAATCGCTTTAAATGTGAATGGTCAAACTATACCAATGGAAAGACAGAGAGAGTAAATTAAAAAGCAACAACATCTATATGCTGTCTACAAGAAAGCCACTTTAAATATAAAGACACTGATAAGACTAAAAGTAAAAGGAAGAAGAAATGTATACCATACTACACTAATCAAAATAAAACTGTAACAATATTCATTTCAGACAATGCTGATCAGAGCAAGGAAAATTACCAAGGATAAAGAGGGGCATTACATAATGATAAAAGTGTTGATTTTGTGATAAGACATAATATACTTTAATGTGTATATGGCTAACAACAGAATAATCAAATACATGAAGCAAAACCTGATAGAATTGCAAAAAGAAATAGATGAATACACTGTCTTAGTTGGAGACTCCAAAATCCCTCTATCAGAAAATAATACAACAAAAAATAGGTAAGGGTATAGTTGAACTAAATACCACTGTTAATCAACTCAACTCAACCTACTTGGTATTACAGAACACATCACCTTTTGGTCAAAAGATCTAATAGACATCTCACCAAAGGAGAGGTACAGATGGCATATGTAGATCATATGTCATCATGGAAATGTAAATTGAAACAATAGTGAGAAACCACTACACACCTATTAGAATGGTTACATTCAGACCACTGACAACACCAAGTGCTGACAAGGCAATGGAGCAACAGGAACTTTCATCACTGCTGGTGAAAATGAAAAATGGTGCAGCAGCTCTGAAGACAGTCAAGTGGTTTCTTAAAAAGCTAACTGCCAACCATAATCTTACCATAGATTAACAATCACACTGATACTAAATGTTAATTAAAAGATTCAAAGACATTTTTAAGTGGTAATTATTTAGATGTGTTATTATTTTGGTATTTTTTAAATTATAAATTCTTGTTAAAGAATGCCATGTGTTTGGATACTCATCTGACAATCCTTCAAAATATAGGTATTCATTTGGGGAAGCTGAACCATCTAGTTTACAAATGAGACCAAGTGTGTCCAGGAATGACTACAAGGTCACCTATGTACAATTTATTCCCTTTCTCAATCACAGTTTTAAGCTCCATATGTGCACATTGTATTACGATATGTTACCATGCAGTCAATGTGTGTAAGTTACCAAACAGAACGTCAAAATAAGTAGCCATAATAAATGGAGAACAAGATTTCACCACTACTGCTCCTACCTGTACGTGATGTGTTTGTGCTGCCATTTCTGGCCTGTTAATGCGTATCGCTTCCGACGGACGCTGAATTTGGAGGTACCTCTTGCCTGGTCAGGCACCCCACACCGAGGCTTCTTCATCCAGCTGCGAAAGAAATTATCTTCCATTACTAATTATTAACTTCAAAAGGAAATTAACTGAGAGGTTAATCTATGACAGTGATAATGAAAATGGGAAAACATATAGGAGAAAACTGTCCATTTTCTTGAAGTTTTAACATAAGTAGAAAGAACACTTTTTCCCTAAAACTCAAGAGTTTTTCGATACTTTTTCTCTAACTTCTTTTGCTCTAACTGTAGACTGAGTGTCATAAAATAAGACTTTTAAAATAAACATAAAATAGATTATCAGTAAGGTATCTCCCAGCTTTAACATTCAACAATTTTTAAAATCTATTACATGACCTTAAATCCCAAGAGTTAAAAGGGTAAATACTACTCTTTTTAGCTTACAGAGAGGTAACTTGTTTCTTTAATGAATATTTGTCTTTCCCTACCTTTTTCTTCTTTTACCTTCATTATCCTAATTTTCAAGTTAATAGCCATATACTAACCAAATTCAATGCTTAAAAAACATGTTTTGAATATAAAGTTTACATCACACAAATAAGATTTACTATATATTAAGAAAATAAAATGCCGCTTTTCATTTATAAACTTTTAATATTTATACAGATACAGTGGTCTGCTTTCCTAGAAACTCATTTGACCATTGCTGTATTTTCTATGTATTGTTGTTTCTTGTCTAAACAGAAAAATTTTCATGCTTTTTAGCACTTTTTTCTTTAGTGACTCATAAAATAGCTTTACTGTTCATGACCCCATCTAATTTAACAATTACAAAACTAATGCAGTATCTTTACAGTTCTTCATGCTTCATAACATGGAGATAAAAAAAACAAAACAAAGTATTTCACCAAATACTTTACAATTTGTATATTCCTTAAACGGAATAGAATTGACTATGGGAAAGACTAGCTAATGATATCCAATTTGTGAAAATTAATAAAATAATTTACATGTTACATGGAAAAATCGGCTAATCGACTTTTATAAACAAAAAGAAATTCATGCAACAATGAAATCATAACTTTTACTTTTTAAGAAATGATGTTTTTTCACTGTGGAGTACAAATCTCTCTTTTTTGAACTGGATGAAAGAAGATGAAGGAATTAGTCAAAGAACATATAATCATGACCCATAGACACAGACAACAGTGTGGGATAAAAAGAGGGAAGGTGAGGTGGGGGCTGAGGTGAGGTGGGCAAAGGGGTAGGGGAAATAAGAACATCTGTAACAGTGTCAACAATGAAAATAAAGTTTCAAACTGAAGTTTCTCCTTTTCATTCTGCCCCAGTAAAAATGTAGATATTGAGCCTTGGAGCCCTGGACAGTGGATTCGACTCTCACACATCCGAACGGGTGAGAAGTGCGGTGGAGGCTGGAGAGGGTGGGCTGGGTGCCCACTGGCACTAGCACCAAAGGGACATTGAAACGGCCAGTTAGCTTCCCCTGAGAAGAACGGGGTCTGAATCATAAACAGGGACCCCTAAACTACAGCAGCTAAAACCAAGAAAATACAGACAAAACGCAACCCCAAAAAGCTTAGGGGCGCTCTCTGCCAGAGACAGAGGGCTGGGGATGCAAAGAGACATTTAAAGGGACAATGCAAAAATTGCAGTGGCAGCCACCTTCCTTGATCTCTGGGTGGCGGTGGCAGCAGGGTGGGCTGGTGCCTGGGAAAAGACTGGTGTGACACCGCGGCTAGGGGAGCCCCAGTGATAACGCACCTCCCACGCTACAGCTACCATCTCGCTCAGGCATAAGGGCATCAATTAATCTGCCTTTTGTGCACTCCGCACACAGCTTGTGCATGTGAGCTGGGGGGCTGAGTGCAGACTGGCTGGAAGAGCCTTGAGGAGAGACTGGAGACGGAGGTGATGGGGAAAGAACGGGAGGAGGAACCGGGGAGTCCGAACTCCCTCCCCGTCCGGTAGTCTCCATTGTGGGCTGGAAAGGCGCGACCCCAAAGAGGCAGAAGAGGGGCGCGCATGAACGAGACTGCCTGGGACTGAAACGCAGTCCACACAGGGGGTGGATCCCTGGCCGAAGGGGTCACAGAACTGCCCAGAGACCCCTGAGGAGAGACTAGAAACGGAGGCATTTGGGAAAGAATGAGAGGAGGAACCATGGAATCCTGACTCCTCCTTGCCCTAGTCTCCATTGGGCGGGAAGAGGCCACACCCCCAAAAGCCAAAAGCTGAAAAGCACACATAGACACCTCAAAACCACCCAGTGCAGGCGCACACACTTGCGCGGAGTGACCCGCGAGGGTTGCCGAGCATGCGTGTAATCCACGCGGGCTAGCCAACACTTGCACTGGCCGGAAAGGCCTCCCACAGATTGGCACCCATATGGCCTGCGAGGGAGTGCACAGAGTGGCAAGGGCAGGCGTAAATTGACGTGCCCAGCCCGCGATTGCAGAGCGGCTCAGAAAATTAGTAGATCCCGGGCTGAAGAGGTCACAGAGCTGCCCAGAGTCCCTGGAGGAGAGACCGTAGACAGGATTAACCGGAGAGTCCTGGAGCTGACTTCCTCCCATTTCCTTAGTCTCCATTTGGCGAGGGCAAGCAACGTACCCAAAGAGCAAAAAGAGGGGAATACACACAATAGAAGACCCTAAACTGACCAGTGCCGGGGAGCTCGCCGCCCAGGGGGGCCAGATAAGTAAGCGAGGCCGCGAATAAGCCCCCTGGTGTGGGGCATGCATGCGCGAGCCCAGGCAGGCAGGGGATCCTGCCATGCCAGGGAGCATGCACAAGGAGCCGGCTTGAGACTGCAGAGTGATCCTAAAAAATAGTCCAGCCCTGACCGAAGGGGTCACAGAGCTGCCCAAAGCAGGAGGCAGACACAGACAGTAGACTCCAGGAAGGCTCAAACAAACGACCCAAGGCCATATTGGGTCAAAAACTGACATCATCAGAGGCAGGCCTAGAAAGAAAAGTAAAGGGAAAAATAAATAAATAAATAAATAAATAAATAAATAAATAAATAAATAAATAAATAAAAAAGACCCACCTACTACCACAGAAGTTTAATTCACAAAGTCAGGAAATCGAAACAGCCAATTGAAGCAGAAGCAAAAATAAATAAAAAAAAAAATAGGTAAATTACTTAACAGACTCTCACAAAATTGGAAGAAAAAGAAGTTCCCCCCAAATAAGTGGAAAAGGGGACTCCCCACAGACAGAGCTAAATGAAATAGAGGCAAGGGAACTATCAGATATGGAATTCAAAACAATGTTTCTAACGAAGCTCAAATCGCTCAGCCAGCTCAAAGAAAACTATCAGAAACTGCAGAGAACCTATCAGGATCTTACAATAAACTATATGAACCTGGAAAACGACATTGAAACTATCAAGAAGACACAAGAGGATATGAAGAATACCATTTCTGAATTGAAGAACACAGTAGAGGGAATCTAAAACAGGCTGGATGAAGCCGAGGATCCAATCAGTGAGATGGAGGATAAGGTAGAAAAAGGCTCCCAGAAAGAACAAGAAATGGAAAAAAGACTAAGAAAGACTGAAGAGGCATTTAGGGAAATGCAGGACAACCTCAAACGCAATAATATCCATATAATAGGGATAGCAAAAGGAGAAGAAGAGGAGCAAGGGATAGACAACCTCCTTGAAAAAGTAATGATGGACAATTTCCCCAATTTGAGGAAAGAAAGGGTCTCATTGATCCAGGAGGCACAGAGGACCCCACTCAAGAGGACCCCAAGGAGGTCCACTCCAAGACACATCATCACGAAAATGGCAACTATCAAAGACAACGAGAGAATCCTCAAGGCAGCAAGGAAGAAGGAGAAAGTAACATACAAGGGTGCCCCGATACGCTTAGGAGCTGACTTCTCAACAGAAACACTACAAGCAAGAAGGGATTTGCAAAAATATTCCAAGTCATGAAAAGCAAGGGCCTACAGCCAAGGCTGCTAGACCCAGCAAGGCTCTCAATTAAAATAGAAGGGGAAATAAAGCGTTTCCCAGAAAAGAGAAGGCTAAAAGAATACATCTCTACAAAACCAGCACTCCAAGATATGCCAAGAGGACTGGTTTTCTGAAGGAAAAGAATGGGAGAGAGAGGGACACAGGTACAAAGAGAAAAGATTAGTAAGTTACTTTCAGTAATATCTCTAAATGTGAATGGACTAAATGCCCCAATCCAAAGACACAGGGTAGCTGAATGGATAAGAAAACATGACCCACACATATGCTGCCTACAAGAGACCCACCTCAGAGCAACACACCTACACAGATTGAAAGTAAAGGGATGGAAAAAAATATTCCAAGCAAATGGGCATGAGAAAAAGGCCGGGTTGCCATAATTCTACCAGACAATGTAGATTTCAAAACAAAAGCTATAAAAAGAGACCCAGAGGAGCACTTTATAATACTTAAAGGAAGAATCTATCAAGAAGACATAAACATTGTAAACTTATATGCTCCCAATAGAGGAGCCCCCAAGTTTATAAGGAAATTGTTGGATGACTTCAAAAAAGATATAGACAGCAACAAACTGATAGAAGGGGATTTCAACACCCCGCTGTCAAAAATGGACAGATCTTCCAAACAAAACATTAATAAACATAGTGTGGCGCTGTATGACACACTGAATCAAAGAGACTTAACTGACATATAGAGAACCTTACATCCCAAAGAAGAAAAATACACATTCTTTTCAAATACTTATGGCAGTTTTTCAAAGATAGACCACATGATAGGACACAAAGCAAGCCTCAGCAAATTCAGGAAAATTGAAATAATACCAAACTTGTTCTCAGACCACAAGGACATGAAACTGGAAATCAACCTCAAAGAGAAACTTCAAAAACTTGCAAACTCATGGAGACTCAACAGTAGACTGTTAAACAAGGAATGTGTCAATAATGAGATAAGAGAAGACATTAAAAAATTTCTGGAAACAAATGGAACCATAAACGACCCCGAATAGCTGCAGCAATTTTGAGGGGAAAAAAAAAAAGTAGGAGGGTTCACAATACCGGATATCAAACTCTACT